CAGACACGTTTCTAAGAAAATAAAAATAAAAATTAACGGATTTTAAACGGAGTAACTTTTTCTGTTAACATCGTTTACTATTCTGTGAAAAAAATTGACGGCGCGTATAAAAGTGTCACGTTGATAGTTTAAATTGTGAATAATGTCAAGTTGAAGGTTATTCACAATTTAAACGGCTAGTGATAAACATTCGAGGTTTAAAGTGTCACTGCGTGCCAACTTGAAGGTTTTTATGCGATTTTCCCAATATTAATTTAATTCTTTGTTTGGATTTGGAAGGATTTCATTTTTCGATTAAAGACAAGTGTTGTTTATTTGATTGTGGTGATATTATTTATGGTAGTGGTCCATTGGAGAATGAGCTTTATATTCTAGATCAAAGTGTGTCTGTCTATAACATTAGTACTAAAAAATTAAAGACGAAAGAATATAATCCTACGTTTCTTTGGCATTGTCGTTTAGGCCATATAAATGAGAAACACATTCAAAAGCTTCAAAGTGATGGAGTTTTGAGCTCGTTTGATTATGAATCATATGAGAAATGTGAATCTTGTTTATTGGAAAAAATGACTAAGATGCCTTTTACTGGACAAAGTGAACGGGCCAGTGATTTGTTGGGCCTTATACATACTGATGTTTGTGGACCAATGAGTTTAAATGCTAGAGGAAACTACCAGTACTTCATTACATTTACTGACGATAACAATAGATATGGTTATGTTTAACCCATGTTCTAAAATGCGGCCTCCGCGGCCGCTGCAGCGTCGATTATCCGGTCGGCGGCGGTATCCCGCCGCGATTATACCCAAATCAGAATTAAACTCGGAGAAAAAAATTAAACTTCAAAATTTCTTGGTTTTTTTATAGAAATTGAAAGTTAGATGTTAGATCTATAACTTCTTTGTTAAAAACCAAGTGAAAATGAGATGGAAATGGTGTAAATCAAGTCAAGAAATGATGGGCATCTATAGATCTGAATTTTTAAGCTCTCTGTTCGCGTGAAGAAGGTGGTGAAGATGACCTCAAAATTACAAAATTGCCATTAATGAAAATAAATGACAAAAATAGCACAAAAAATTTTTAGGGGATTCGAACTTGACACTTATGGCTTAAATAACAAGGAAAATACCAAGTAAGGTAACAGTTATACAGGAAAACACTAATAAAATATATAATTACCAAATGTGATAATTTTAATGTTTAAATACATG